TCATTTTTTTTGAGTCAGGAGTAGTAATTTGAATTTTGTTAAAATTTAGTGGTTGGGACTAGGTTGTATGCACTGTATTAATTTAAAATTTTAATTTTTTTAATAATAATTTATTTTAAAAATTAGTAGTTAATTACATTTTTTTTTTTTGATTTTTACTTAAAAAACATTATAAAATATATTATAAAAGTATTAATTTTTTAATAACATTTTAAAATATTAAAAATATTTAAAAATAATAAATAAAATTGTTACAAATTTGTAGGCAAGATAGTTAAAAGATAATATATAATATATATAGTCTAATTTTATCAAACAGTAAATCTTTTTTTTTTTTTTAATATACTTATTATATTAATATTAAGAACAAAAAAAAAGAATTTGTAATTAAAACTTTATTAAATATTACTATTTCTTTATATAAAGAGATAAAGTAAGGTTAGAAAAATTAATAATAATTATAAAATGTAATGTGTAATTTCAAAAATTTGACATTAATAATTCCTACTTTATTATTTTATTTCAATATTCTTATAATTATGGTTCTATAATAAAAAAAAATGACTTACTTGTCAGATTTATTATTCATTGGTGTCTTCTTTTTTTTTCTCATTTCTAATCTCATGATGCTTTTTCATGTTGCAGCTTGAGTGATCGCAGATTTGCATATTAACAGCTATAGTATTAACAAGTTTAAAGCATTATGATGGAAAGTAATCCATGATGATAATATTAATATTAAGCTATGACGTAATCTCCTATAAGATAAAATATTCGTCTAGTTCCTTTTTTACATCTTTTCTCTTGATTTGATAATTTTTTATCTGGCTTAAGAACTATCTGATTATCGATTTTAAGAATTTCCTTTTGATTCGGACATTTTATGAACATTAAATAAAGGTAGGTGAAGTTGACTTTTGAGCACTTTCTCGTTGGTGTTGAGCTTCTCCGCTAATTAATTAGTTTCCTTTTCTAACTTCCATTTTAAATTCTCTCGAAGAAACAATTAGTGAATATGAAATATCTCCTCACGACTTTGTGATGCATCCGTATGTTTATATTTTTCAACTTCATTTTGCTCATACTGATCGTCGCAATCAAAGTCCTTTTCTTATTCACCTTGCCCAAATGGTTCATCAACCGTCGTCGCTAGCATTGTAACTTCCATAGCTCTTTCAATTAATCAAAACTACAAAATACTTTTATTAAATAAAAATATATATATACGCATACATATTATACTTATCTCTTTAAAGATTACTTTTTTTTAAAAAAAATACAAGTACAAGAAGAATTATATGGATGTAATTAATCATGATAACAAATAATGTAGTTCATCTAACGAATCATCAACTCCTATATCTCCAGGTGATTTTTTATCATCATCAACCATTTCACCCTAGACAATATAATATAATTACATCAAATCGGGTTAATTTATCGATCAAGATCAATCATATGGATTACTTCTTTGACTTCACGATTGGCGCGTTCACACTCCGTTCATCATAAGTATCTTCATCAGTGACATCATTTGGTTCAACAACATCTCTCTATTCAGTTCTTAAAACATTCCTCATTAAGCTTTCAATTAAACGCGTCGTTTTATAGCTATAGCGGAAGATTTATGCATTTTTATCAATGCCTTAATACTTGAAAACTTCCAACTCACATAATAGTTTTCCAAATGAACCAGATCGTTTATCAAACGAAAACATCAAACTTTTAGGACCAATGGACTATCGGGATAAGTTATGATGAGATCAGCGATCTTCGATGTAAAAGAGGGGGGAAAATAGTGCATTTGATTAATCTTCTTCACATTACTTCACTTCTAAGATCATAGGAACTATTTAAAAGTAAAGTTTTCTGACACATGAGTTTCTTACTTGATGTATCTTTCTTGTTGTACGGGTTTCCTTCCTTCCTTCCTCGCATAAGATTTCTTCCCTTTCATGCGATAGTGGTTTCTACCTTTATACGGGTTCCGTTCCGTGTTTTGAACTATCTTTTGATGAAAACCATTTAAAATGCTTTAATAACACTGAGAGAGGACGCGGAAGGAAATTCGGTTTATGGTTGTTTGGTTAAATCAAAGAAAGGGAGGATAACAAAAAAGAAAGTTTTTTTTTTTTAAAAAAAAAAAAAAAAATTATTTATCGGATCGGATGACTTATTATGCATATCGGTAACACTTGCAAGCATCATGGAAAATCGGTATTGCAGCACCGATTTGAAATTCGTATTCCAGAATTATACTTATGATCATATTAATATTTTTTAATCGATATCGATATCGAGTAAATTATTGATTCAAACGGTATGTTTGTCAAAATAAATGGAAAAGCATTTCTACATAAAAAATTAAAGAAATAATTTAAATACAAAAATAAATAATTTATTTTAATCTGTATTTATCCCTCAATAAAATTTTTTTAATAAATAAATACGATTGTATATTTGATTTCATTAACAACGTTAACTGTTAATAATTAATTTTGGTCAGTTTTTAACCAGAATTACTATTTATATTTATATTACTATTTATTATATAACCTATGATTGTTACACAAATGTCCTTTTATGGGGGGTGAATTTTTGTGGTGATATAAAGTAAATTTTGTGTGTGATAAAAGTAAATTCTGTGAAATTTTGTGATTTGGCCGAAATTAAGCAAGGTTGGCCAACATTACGACTCGTAAATTCTGCCCAAATTTAGTGTTTACCGGAATTACAATGATTGATTTTTTCGGTATGTGATTTCTTATTTGTCACATAATATTTGCCATCGGACTATCACCTTAATGCCGTAATTCTGGCCAAAATATCGTGATCGAACCCGGCTTTAGCCACCCCCTTTTAAATTTTTTCGTGAAACGGCCATAACTTCCCCAGCATCCCCAACAAAATTTCACTTTCACGTGACATTTTGGCTCGCATTATGCAACTGCATGTGATAATGTCAGATTTACCGGTGAGAAATAATTGCGTGACAAATAGTATTTCACTACCGAAAAATTCTAAGTCCCCAGAATACATAGTAAAAATGAAAAGTTGAAGGGGTGACAAATATTTTTATTATGATCACGTGAAAGTGAAATTCTGTTGGGGATGCAGGGTAAGATAAACGGCCATCGCATAATCATGTGATTTATAATTCCGGCCAAAATTAATATAATTAGGGATACTAAATTAAGTTAGGCAAAGATTATTTCTTTTTATAGATACTGCCGGCTGAAATTTTGTTAGCATTTATATAATTCCGGATAAACAAAATTGATCATCCTTTGTTTCCTTTTAAGCAACACAGGCGTAAATAAATGCTTCAACATTTTGCTTTTTTTAATTTTTTTTGGCTTACAATTTTAATCAAAAAATGTCCAAACTCAATAAAGATATTCTTTACTTGTTATTCGAGGAATTACAAGATGATTCAAATTCACTATTTTCATGTCTGTTAGTTAATAAACTTTGGTGTGAGACTGCGGTTCCAATTTTATGGAAGGACCCTTGGCGCTTTGAAGAAATAAAAAATAAAAACAAAATTTCTTTATTCTACGTTATTTCTTTATCCTTTTCCAATGAAATTAGAGAATTTCTTACAAGTAAAGGAATTCAATTACCAAGAACTTCAAATCAATCACTTTTATTTGATTATTTAACTTTTTGCAGGAATTTCCATGTAAATGGCATAGATTATATAATTTTGATTAGTAAATGTACATATTATAAAAGATTTCTTTTGCAACAAGAAATTTATAGCCTCTTAATGAAAAAATGTCCGGAGGTAAAGTCTTTGAACATGGTATCACTTAGGCACCAAATATTTTATTTTGCAGGAGCAAAGTTTCGACTCGAATCACTTTGCGAATTAAAATGTGATATATCCATGAATCCAACATTTTTTTATGGATTAGCAAGTATTTGTCAACGCATACAAAGGTTAATCATCGACAACTCCGGTTTAAAACCTAATAAGGGCATTGTCAAGTTAATTGAAGTTCAGAGGAATTTACGATATTTTGAATGGAGCGATGTTTTTGTTTTTGATAGTGATAAGATTGATGATGTTTATGGAGAGATTTTTCTAGCATTAGAGGGGAAGGCTGATACCCTTGTCCATTTTATAACGAGCTTTCAAGATAATGATTATATCCTTGGGTTTATACCAATAAAATTTTCAAAATTTTACAACTTAAAGACATTAATAATTAATGATTCTTATGTCGAATATGAGCGTCAATTGAAACATTTAAGTTATCAAAATCTCGAAGTCTTTCAAATCGATTTCATTAAAACCAGCACACTTATTTATATAATTAATAATAGTGGTGGAAATCTCAGTAAGATTATAGTAGGTGGATGTAGTTACAATGGAGATGAAGATCTGATTATCATTCGTACAATTCATGAGAAGTGTCCTTTGATTGAATATTTAACCCTTACATTCTCATCATCCGATGAGAATTTCATGGAATTCGAAAAATTACTAAATACTTGTCAAAAATTGAAGACCTTAATATTAAACATAGACGCTTTTTTATCTGAAGGACATTCGATTGCAGAAAAAAGGCTTTTATCTGGTGAAAAATTATCAAAAGCTTTAATTAGATCAGCTCCATTTAATCTAAGAAGACTTGTATTTAATGGAATTAATCATGATTATGGACCTAGGTTTTCATTTAAGACCTTGAAAGATTTTTTTGAAAATTGGAAAGGTCGAACTTCACTTTCCATATTTACACCGGACCGTCATTATAAGGCAAAAGAGTATGACGAAATGATAAGCGGATACTTGAATGATGGTGTGATTAAAGATTTTAGTTATAACTTGATAAATTATTTTATGTAACTTTCTCTACTATGTGCTCATTCCATATTTTTTTTTTTTTGTTAATATTATTATTAACTGATTACATTTTTTTTTGAGTCGGAGTATTCATTTCTAGAAATTTCAATAAGTTTTTTTCGTCGACTTATGCATTAGCTGTTCAGATACAAGAAGCAAGTTATAGAATATAGATATATATGGATCATTTGGAATAATCATGGATGACTTCTGAAATTGGATTACATGATCACACCATAATGATGAACATTTTGTAAATGTGTTTTCAAATTTTTTTAAATAATAAAGAAATCAATTTATATATATATATATATATTGAAAGAGAACTTAGGAAAAAAAGAAAAAAAAGGCAACCTGATTACTATGCATCGTCTATCATCGTTATCATTCGTGGCTTGATAAAAATTATGTCACTCGGACACTGGTAAGTGGTTGTCTGAAAAGTTTACTATGACGCAATAGTTAAGGGTGCCTTATGAAAATAATCATACAACGTGAAATGTTTGTACAGTTCGGAACCGTACGTAATTTTTTAAATTATAACATACAGCAATCATACTGAAAAAAAAAAAAAAGAATTTGGAATATAAAATTGTCTATTACAATAAAAAACATTATCTTGATAGTTACTTCCTAACTATCATATTTCGTGATATACGACATTTGTACTATTGTTAATTTAAAAAAAAAAATTAAAGATTTTGTTACGTCATGATCTAAAATTGGAATCCTTTGGTGCCGAAAGTCTTAACTCAACAATAAAAATTGTAACACCTAAAATTTTTTCAACTTCTTAAAAAAATAAACCGGTAACTTTATTCTTTAAGATGAATACTATTAAATTACCGGTCAGTTTTCCAAAAAAAAAATGTCTAGTAAAAAGTTATAAGCATTGAAAATCAGATGATTTTCATATGACTAGCCCACGAATCAAATCACGTGCATGTATTTTATTGGTCAAGAATTTAATGATAATTTGGGCCGACACTATCGTTATTATAATTCCGGCCCGAATTATCGCAATTAATTATACTCGAAAAATATTCACTTTTGAAAAATTAAATTTTTTTTTAGCCGATAACCATTTTTTTTCACATTTAAGATTTGAAATTAATTATTTTTTGAAATGTCATGTGAAACAAAAAGACAATAGCAAATTAGTAAGATTTCTAGAAAGAAAGGATGTTATGCATCTCAGGATCAAATTACTATTAAAGAATGGATAGAAGATGAAATTATTGAAAAATGGTTAGAAGATAAGGCTATTGAAAAGTTTGCAAAAAATGAAATATTAGAGAATGTAATTTCTGATAATGAAATAAAAGATAAAACTGTTAAATATTGGCTAAAAGAAGATCTTGAAGTATTTAAAAAAATAGGAAAAAAAGAAATAGGAAAAAGATTTATTAATGAAACTTTTCATTGGCATGAGAATATTTCAAGTAGTATTAGAGTGATATATACTAGAGATTCAAGAATAATGTTATAAAGAAAGGAAAAGAAAAAACAGAATTAAATAACATGCTAAAGAAATAAGAAAGATTAATACTTTTTTCAAACCAGCTTCTAAAAATATTGGATTATCAAATCAAATGCCAATTAATACAAAGTTAAATCTATATATATGTTTAAAAAAGCTTAATCAATTATGTTTAATAAAAAAATCTAAAAAAGAAAATTATGATATATTTACCTATGATTATATACATTTTCTAAGTATATGTTAATTTATATAAAAATTATTAAATAGAGAAGAAAAAATGGTCATTAGTAATCAAAAATTTTAGGATATATGAAATAAAGGAGACTATATAGCTTAGTGCATTAGAAAATAAGGAAGTTATTTTATATAAATAGGTAAGCTTCTTGTATATTCTTAAGGAAAGTATATAAAAATTGAAAGCCTTTTGGATGATAAAGGATTTTGTTAAAAATTACCAAGTATAGTTATAACAACAGGTATTAAAAATACAGTCTTCTTATAATTTAAAAGTATATATTGATAAAACATTATTTTTAAGCTTAATAGAAAATATTAAAAAGATATCATTTCTGAAATAATATACTGAAATTATATGTGTCTATGGAAGTATAGGTATAATAAAAAAAGTATTTATTATGATAAATATGAGAGGTCAGATATAATAAAATATAGAAAAAAATAGCTGAAAAGGATGTTTAGATACAAAAAATTTATGAAGGAATTTGATGGTGATATGTTAAAAGTTATAATAGAACCTGAACTTAATCTAAGAAAAAAAAAACTTGTTCAGGTGATACATTATGAATGTTATTTTTACACAAATGATAAGTGACAAAAAGGTTAGATTGAAAAAGAAGAAAGTATTTTATGTTCAAAGTATTTAGAGCATTTTATATAGTTTCTGATTTTCTTTATCTATGTATGGACTATTATAACTAACTAATAAGCAATTATAGGAAATCTACATATTAAAAATAAAGATACTTATATTTTTTGTTCTGTATAAGCAAATAGATATTGGATTTCAAAACATATGATAGAACAGATTTGATTAATTTTTTATGATAAAGAGAAATTTTTTAAATTCTAAACCAACTTATCTTACTTTTATAATATAACTTGTATAAAAAGCAATTCTAATATTTGAGGTTAATCAGTCAACTAATCATAATGCTATAGTAAAAAATACACTGATTGCAATAAGAATAAATTTAAGACTGAAGAAAAATAACTTAAAATGTATGATGAGTAGTATATCAATGAATATAAAGATAAATACAAATAGTCTATGGTGTTTTCAATTGACTATCCAGTAGAAAACCTAAGATGAAAACTGAAGAAAATCAAAAATGTTCTTGAGGAATGTAATCTTTGATCTAAGAAAAAGATTAATTTAGTATGCAAAAAATGTTTAAATAAGGATATTGATAATGACTTAACAAGATGGAATTGCTATGCATAATAAATAATAACTTTATAACCTAACTTTTTTAAGTAATGGTCAGCATTAGATGAAAAATTATTATAGCAGAATATATTTTTGAATGGTATTCAAAGTTTCATTATAATGCAACTTTATAAAGTAGTATTGAGGCTTTATGAAATGAAAAATTATTAGATTATATAATTATAACTATTCAGATTTATTAAAGCATATTTCTAAGATTTTTAATAACATTCTTATTATAACTATTCAAAAGTTTGTATATAAATTATGAAGGTATATAAATGTATATAATAGAGAACTAGAGAGCAAAACTACTAAATAGATTATTAATAAATACAAGTCATACCACTGGTTACTAAAAAATATTAAAAGAATGATAGATGATTAGTAAGATAATTATATTATAATAAAGAAAACAGATATAATACTTAGCTTTTTATTTTATTCTCTTCAGATTTGCAAAAGTTTCTTTATGATAATATTTTCTTAATCTAAATTAAAAAACTTGTCATGTAATATTATTTTAAATTTAACCTCCTTTAATTGTATATATTACATGAAATCATACATTTTTATTGGTCAATTTCTTGTTACATAATAAATGATCGTTATTAAAAAATTTGAAATAATTGATAAGTTAATACTTTTGACACTATAGTAATGCATAAACATATTTTATTAAATAATTATCAATAATTATTTGAATAATGAAATATTTATTTTTATTATTATTTCTTTAGTAAATAGAAAACATGTAATGTATAGTGATATATATATATATGTATAGTAATTAATATATGGCAATGTATGGCAATATATAGTAATCAGCTCATTGATCTATACATATATACATTAATATGAATAATATATATATGTATGATGTATATATTATACATTATCATACATAGCTATACATAATTTATTATATATACATATACTCCCCTCCAAAAAATATCTGACCACCCATCGATTATTACAAATCCTAACATATTAAAATTTGAATTACATCACAACTAATGCATATAAATAAAAAATTTTTTTTTTCTCATGTAGATGCAGTTACAAATAGTTTGAAAATAAAAAATCTTTTTTTAAAAAATATATCTAAAAGGAGTTAACTTTCAGATTTTGAGCGAGAAGAGATTATTGGACTTTGTAAAGAAGGTCATAGTGAAAGAAATATTGAATCTATCCTCCAACATCCTAAGTCAACCATTCATGATATAATAACCAGTTACA